ATTTTTATTAACTCATTACCAGACTGTGTCAAATACTCCTCTAGTCTTATTTTTGAAGATGATTTTAAACTTTTTAAAACCATACACACTTTTAATGATTGTCTACAATTACAGGAGGACCTTACTTCAGTTATAAAGTGGTTTAAAGAAAACAAGATGGTCTTAAATGTTGGGAAGTGTGGAGTTATATCATTCACCCGCAAGATTAACTTCATCCAATACAGATATATGATAGGTAATGATGACATAATTAGAAAAACTAAGTGTAGAGACTTGGGAATAAACCTTCAGGCCAGCATGAGATTTAATGACCATTATACCGTTATTGTTAAAAAGGCCTACAAAATACTGGGATTTGTGATTAGAAACTCGAAGCATTTCAGCATAAACACAACAATTCGTCTGTACAATGCCTTGGTCAGACCAAATCTTGAATATGCATCAGTAATATGGGCCCCTGAAGCTGAAAGTAACATCACTTTGATTGAAAGGGTACAAAAAAGATTCTTGAGGTATTTATATTTCAAGAGATATAAAGTGTTTCCTTATCTTATGCCAACTAAAAATCTGATTGAGATGTTCAACTTCCAAACATTACATCAAAGACGAAATATGCATTGTGTCTTGTTCTTGCATAGTGTTGTGAATAATTATAAATATAAAACATGCTACTTAATAAACTTCTTAGAGTTTCATGTACCAAAGATTAACCTTAGAATAAACAATTGTGATCTCTTTTCTTGTAGTCCTTTTAATAGTTCTCCAATAAATTATATGCAAAATCAGTGCAATATTCTATCAAGGGACTTTAACTTAGATTTGTTGAACTGTACAGTTCTGGATATCAAAAAGTGTTTTAGGTAGATTTGTATGGACAGGTTTTAGTTATTTAAGGTTTACTGTTAGTGTTTTTGTGTTTTTTTTTGTGTCAGGCTAGTGATAAGCACTCACTTACATTTAAATACTGTTTAGATGGTGTCTGTAAGTTGTATCTATAAATAAAATAAATAAATAAAATAAAAATTCTTTGAAATTGCAATAAAACTCGTACTAAAATTGCAATGTTCACTCTGCTTAAAAACAAATTAACATTGTAATTTCACTACATTTTATTGCATTTTTGAAGTATTTTGTCCAAGAATGAAATTTGAGCGAAACATATAATATATGTATATATACAGGGTGTCTAGAAAAGGTTGGAACATGGCTCGGCTGTGGAGTCCTGGGATAAGAACAAGTTGATTGAGGCCAACTTACCTATATTCAAAATCTTCTCATTGAGTTGGTACAAGGCGTTGAAGTTTTTTGGAAAAAATTAATTTTGCCCATAAAAAGAGTAGGCTGAGATCGATTTCCATAATGTTTGCCATAGCATGTTCTGTGACTCTAAGTCACGTTTTGAAGTATTTTTGATCATCATCAGTGACCTGCTAGTGTTTCTAACAACCATGTTGCCGTACAAATTTGGTGATTACTTTTCAGAGGTCGGACTGGAAACTTCCAGTTTTTTTTTTCTAGAAAGATATTCCCTTCAGAAATATTTTTTGTGTCATGTTGATTTTTGATAAGTCTCGAGGTTCATTTGCAAATAAATAATTTCTGATCTGAGGCATCTTATGCATTTTTTAGAAAAATAATCTGGTTCGGACATGGCTTGACTGCAGACTCCTGGGATGAACATAAGTTGATTTTAGCCAACTTATAGGTACCTATATCCAAAATCGTTTCGTTGAGTCGGTACAAGACGTTAAAGTGCTCACCCTAGATCCTGAATAGTTATATATCTCTAAATTTGTAACGCGAGAGTTTTTGTAAAGCCCGCGAGGACCAGCAACGTATCAGTTTGTTTACAATAAGAATACCTTGTAGCCATCATGATCAATCAGTCGACTAATTAGATTGATTTTCAAAAATGCGCAGGTTGCATCATATCAGAAATTATTTATTTGCAAATGAACCTCGAAAATTAACCCGATTCAAAAAATATTCATGAAGGGAATATCTTTCTGAAAAAAAAAAACTGTAATAAGTTTCCAGTCTGACCTCTGAAAAGTAATCAATAAATTTGTATGGCAACATGGTTGTTTGAAACATTTGCAGGTCACTGATGATGACCAAAAACATCTCAAAACGTGACTTACAGTCACAGAACATGCCATGCCAAAAATTATGAAAATCGATCTCAGCCTATACTCTTTTTATGAGCAAAATAATTTTTTTCCAAAAAAACTTCAACGCCTTATACCAACTCAACGACACGATTTTGGATATAGGTGAGTTGGCCTAAATCAACTTGTTTTTATCCTAGGAGTCAACAGCCGAGCCATGTCCCAACCTTTTACAGACACGACCCTCTGTAAAATCTAGGGCAAAATTAACATATTTTAGAACGTTAATAATATATGCCTATACCCATACAACACATGGACATCCGATGGATGTCCATAGGATATCCATTCAGGATATTTTGGATATCCAATGGACATCCAAATAACGTCCAATGGATATCCCATGGACGTCCAATGGATGTCCTGAGGCCACCAACTTGTACGTCCATAGGATATCCTTCACGGACGTCCATAGAACATCGTTCAAGAACGTCCATACGATATCCTTCATGGACGTCCATAAGATATCCCTTATGTTTTCATGGGTGTTCATATAGGATATCAGTTCTACTCTGTTCTATGCGCATCTGTTAGCTGGCGAGTGAACGTATGATTATTCATTGTCTCGCAGACTGTCATTTGTTTCTCAAAACTGGCTTCAATTTTGAACAAGGAAAGGATAGGACGTTACCCATATAGTTGTTATTAAATATATGGGACCCACATGGACATCCAAAATATGTTTGGTGAGTCCGACACTGCCGACTTTGTCGACATATCTCTATGTTATTCTGGGCGTTATTGTTCAACGACGTGGTTCAATGCTCCAATACAGGATATCCCATGGATATCCATTGGATATCCAAGAAGACGTTGAAAAATTCCATATTCGATATATTATATATTTCCTAGTAATATAACTATGTACACACATAGATTTGAATTTTCATCAATTTAATTCATATTCACAATTTATTACATTGATTATATCCGCGCGGGTGAATTTTGGATATCCTATGGATATCCAAAAAGGTCCAAGGATATCCCGACATGAATTGGACATGATTTGGACGTCCATAGGATATCCCGTGTTGTATGGGTATTTATCTCGAAAACGGTTCGATTCTCGAAAAAAATGGAGGTGCAAAAAAGCCTCTGAATTGGAATGATTCACCTAATTTGGTAGCTGGAAGATATGTCAGAGACGTACTACGAAAATGTTGGGGCGGGGGGGAGGAAGAAGCATATCTACCCCCGAAAACGTATATAGCACTGTAAAGATATTGGAAATCTTCAAAATAATGAAAATAATGGTCTTCTATAGCTAGTAAGTATATATTGACCACACCAAATTTTAGATTGGTTTATCAAAAAGATGAGATCTATCACCCCCACTTCAGTGTGTACCTTAAAACCTGAATCACCCTGTATATAGCGAGCAGTATATATATTATATTCCATATTCAAGTATAGAGCTTATTACTGCACTTATTACAAATATTGTCTAGATTTTATACCTTATGCTAATTTTACGTTATTCGCCTAGAATGCAAAATCTGTTGTCAAAAAAATTGCACCTTTATTTCGCATATTTTCATATAAAGTAAAATTACCCTATATTCTGCAACCGCGAACATTGAGGCAGAGCTAAAATATTTAAGTTTTTCAATGAAAATGAAATAAAACAAATAAGTATTTTTTCTTGGTGTGACTCAATAATAAAATGTCAATATCTGATCTATAATTCGAATTCAGCCCGCAAATTTTGTTGAAACCTCAGATTTTGGATACCAAATATATAACGACGGATCAATACCTATATCATAATATAATATACAAAAGCAATGAACGTTGAACATGACTGGTCAAAGAGAAATAATAAATCGATATATATGCTTACCCTTATAAGAGGGTAGGTATGAATGATTTTCTTTTGTTCCTCTTGTTTTTCTTTTACTTCACCTTCTGCCATTTATAAATAGTTCTACAACTGAAAAACCACTTATTAGTAATTGAGATTTTCCATATATTTATCACATATTTATCATAATCTCAATTTATACCTACGCGCGAATTGAGTGTTGATGTTGATGACATATACGTCATCGTTATTTGAACTAATCAGATATGCTGTGGACTTCATTTGACAAACAAAATAGAGAGCAACGAGAGGCAAATGCCAATAAAAAAGGAAGAAGATGTTTGGTTACATGTTTACAGGTTTTGTTGATTGTTTAGATGTGTCAAATGGGGATTCGCCTTTTGACCATGGTAGGAGACACATGGCGTCTCCAGGTCAAAAGTCAGGTTAAAGTGTGTGCAAGTCTATAATTTTTCTAATTACCTGATCTGGATTAAAATCCAATATTTATTGTGAAGTTTAATAAGTGTTTGTGAAAATTATCAAGCCCTTTTATCTCTACGCCGGTATAGAGGCCGGATGGTGACGGATTCACCGGATAAAGGGGCCATTCTTGAAATCAAACGTGCTCAGCATGAGCACATACGATAGAATCTCTGGACATTGATGAACTCGGCCTCCGGGCATGGTGACGGACTACGGTGTCTTTAGTGCTCGAGTCGAGAGATAATTTTATTACATAACCATATATATTCTTGAAAAAATTAATTACCTGATCTGGAGAAATTGTTACCGAAAGGTGACAGAAATCCAATAAACCCAAAAGAAGAAGAAGAAGATGTGTCAAATTTTAGTGAATTTTCAATTTCAGAATTTTCATATGATTATTATGTGCTAATGTTTCATAGAAAAATTATAAAAGTAGGTACTTCCCCAAGTCAAGATTTTACAAGGAATAGTGTGGTTTAGTGAACTGATAACCTATGACAGATTGCAAGAAATGATCAGAAGCTGCTTCCCAAATTCAGGAAATGGAATATATTGCTGAAACCATTGCTCTAGGAGTAGATTCTCTTATCCTAGCAACATGCATAAAACAATACTACAAAAATAAAAATGCTATGGCTATGATACAAGGGGCACCCTATCTTGAAATCAACAAAGATTTAAAAGAGATTGTGGGAACACATCCTGAAACCAAGCTGTCCTATGTTTCAATAAGGGGAACAGTTAAGGCACTAGGAAACCCCATAATCAGTAATAGTAATCCAAATGTAACAGGTGTGATTCAATTGTTAAGGATAAAAGAACATGTTATACAAAGAAGTTCAACTGGATTCTGGGCTGATTCTGAAAGGGTTATACAAGAAGTTCATAATGTCATGCCTTTTTCTCTGGAAACCAAAGGCATTCGTATTGAAGTTTGTGATCCTCTAGCTGCTGATGTATTAGGTAAGAGTTCAAGGCAAGGTTATATTTATGTAAAATCTTTGTGACCATTTTTTCTTTCAGACATGGATGTGATAACAGACCAGTTTCACCCAACAGTACCTAGTGTTATAGATCACATATGGAGCTTCTTTGCAGGTGTACGCCAGAGAGGTGTACAGTCTACAGAAAAAATGCTAAGAACTGGTACAACAATAACAGGTATAGGAGAATTAGTGGCAGGTAAAGATGGAGTCATCAAATTACAACCACCTTCAAATGGTGCCCCTTTCTATCTGACAAATATGCAAGTGACTTCTCTGATTAAGAAACTTGATGGCTCTAAAAAGAATTACAAATTATTGTGCATAGTTTTTGGCACAATAGGCATCATTTTGGCTGGGTTTATCATTAGAAAATATTTGAGAATCAAAAGGAAAAAGAAGGAAACAGAAATTCAGAAATCTTTGTTAGAGGCATCCAGGAGGGAGAGGAGAAGGATAATGAGAGAGGGTGATTTGACAGAAAATCAGCTATGTGTAGTATGCAAAACAAATCCTAAAGAGGTAAGAAATATGCAATTTGATTAATTAATTTAGTGGAGTAGAATCCAGCTCATTAGAATACCATTGGATGAAACTTTTGAGTAGGGACTTTTTTTATCAATAAATGACTCCAGAAAATTATGATTTTCTTCACCATCTAAAGAGAATACTCTTGAGTATACTATTAATCTTTTCATTCAATTATTATAACAGCATCAAGCAATTGTATCATTGAATTTCTTGGCTCCATTTGGCACTTATTTGAGTTGGGTACCTACAAAGTTCCATCTAATAAATGGAGTAACAGGAAAAAGAAAATATCCATTTGCAGTCTTTTCACCATACTTTGATATCAAAGCAGTCTTGGGAAAAATGGAGACAAAATAGATATTTCAGAATTTCCATACAGATTACAAAAATATGCATTATCAAAAACAATTTATTTTCTAATTTAAACCAACTCTGCTTAGGTACTCATCCATTACCTACTTTATAAGATCCCTGGGTGTACAGTGTATTTATTACACCTCCTCAGGACCATGTATTATTTGAAAATGAAAAGTGATTGGTTATTTTAGTATGCTTATCTGCAGCAGCCCAAAGTACCAGAAGCTTTTTACTCTTTACTCAGGAATGGAGAAAAAATCTAAATTTTTTTCAAGACAAAATAATTGTAGAGCACACAATATTCTACAAAGAAATAGCTATATAAAATTGAATTGACAACAAAATTCATCATAACAGTGATGAAAATAGTTGAGATCAACTTTGTTAAACAATTTTTCTTTATTAGAACCAAAATCATATTTCTTGTCAAGCACCTTGACTTTTTTTTGATGATTATTGAAATTGCATTTTTCATTTCAGATAATTTTATTGCCCTGTGGCCATGTCTGCCTATGTGAAGACTGTTCCATAGATATATCTGAGAAGTGCCCTGTATGTAGAACATCAATAAACACAAAAAATGTGGCATATGTGATATAGCATATTATATTGTTTGCAAATATGTACAAGAATTGAGTTTTTAAATTATAAATTATATTGTTAATTTATCTAAAGGTAATTGATCAATTTGTACACTTTCCTTTTTTCCTAAACAAAGACATTGGAAGTCTTTATCAATAATGGTGTTCTCACAAGTTTTATTTGAGTTACTACAATTATTTTTGGATATACTTTTTTCTTTCAGGCTATGTTCTTCTAGTAACCTCTTGACTTTGCTAGATTTTCCTATACCTAGTTTGGGTAAACCCTTGTTGAGCCCTTCTAGCAAGACACAGGCCTTGCAGATTTCTTGTGATGATACATAACCACATCTAGTACAATTTGTTAAAGTGGGCATGTTGACAGTTTGATTCACTTTTATTGATTCTCCTAAAATAAAAGAATAGACTACTTTTTAGAGACTCCAACAATTTTTGTACCATTCAAATTTGTTTTTTTTTTGCAAATTATGAGTCTATGTGCTGTTCAAAGTTTATAAAATCAGGACCTGAATCAGACAAATAATTTCAACCTGCAATATGATCACATGTAATATAATTATCAATCTTGATGACATCATTTGTTGATATTATTTGTTATGCCAATCTTTGGGAAAACTCTGAAAAGTTGTTTGGAGGACATATTTACTGACAGGTTGCAAGGTTGCAAATCATACTTTTGAATTGACTTAGCCATTACTTGATGGAAATCCATACTTAATGTAAAATACTTCACAAACACACTGTAGTGGAAGACTCATACAATAAACTCTACTCTTTATTGTACCAGTATTTTGCCTGAAGAAGCTACTGTGTTATGCATTTTGGGGAAATCTTATCCTTTGTTAAGTTTTCTACATGTGCAAATCATAGTTGATTTGTTTGGAAATTGTCATTCATTCAAAATAACCAGAGTAGTAATCAGTAATCAACAAATGCATGCATTTTTATCCAATGGAAGAGAAGCATGATTTGTGAATGTTTATAGTTAGACAATTTCAGTCATATCCAGATGTACTTTGAAATCTGCAAATTGTGAGTTTGAGCAATTGAAACCATTCAGAAAATTTTTGAAAAATTACTAAATTGAAAATAATTGCTCAACTCAAGATGCACATGATATAGAAGAATTTCACAGATCATAATGAATCAAATATAAATATGTGTATATTCACCTGATTGTATGATGTTCATGATCACAGAAGGGTCTATTTTCTCTAAATCTTTCAAAAGTACTCTAGCATGACCCCTATAAGCATTTGGTGCAAATACACATTCAGTTGAAAAGTACACTAATTTTCTGAAGTAAGCATACATCACTATTTCCTTTTCATAGCAGTATTTTAAAGGTTTCACTCTAGGTATACCATCTCCACTGTCCTACAAAATATTGTTATTCACTAAAAGACTGCAAAAGTTTTTTCAGATCAATAATGAAGTATTGAATTTAATATATCAATATATAATTACTGTGATTATAGAAGTACATCTACTGAGTCTGGCCAAATCTCCCCTAAGAATGTTCATGAGAACAGTTTCTGCAATATCATCTGCATTGTGTCCTGTTGCCAAATAATCAACTTTCAATAAATGTGCACCTCTATCTAATGCTTGCCTTCGAAATACACCACAAAATGTACAATTATTTTTTCTGCCAATCTATAGAATGAAACAATTTCATGAATCTATTAACACACCATTATCTACCAGACAACTTACTGCTGCAACAATCTCATCCATGGTCCATCCATATAAATCCTTATAGGACAATACCTTCAAAGACATGTCATAATCTTCCTGATTCTTCTTAACAGTTTCCAAACTATCATCACGATAGCCAGTGATTCCTTCATCAATAGATAAAAGTAACAATTTCAGTTGATAGTTATACTTTTCATTCAATAATTTCAGAATGTATGCCAAGACTGTGGAATCCTTCCCTCCAGAGGCTGCAATTGCCACTGTAGAATTCGGAGTAAATAACTTCGCTTTAGTTATTGTGAAGTGTATTTCATTTTCAAATGCTTCAAAGAAACAATCTTTACATAATACATCACCAGTTTTTGGGCGCTGAAAACAAATATATCCTAATACCTCATCAATTGGCCATCTTGCAAAAAACTTACCTTGAGGATAGCAGTTCGGCCACATTTAGTAGAACAAGAAGGCATATTACTTGGGAATAGATAAGGTACTAATGAGTTAATTTTCCAATATTTTGGTTCACAAATCACAAGAGTGTTGAAAACACTGAAAACAATAAAAAAGTATAGGTTAATAGTCCTCGTCGTCGTCGTCGTGTCAGTGTCACTACTGTCACTATTCTTCTCTATTTATAATTCTTCAGACAGAGACACTAGCGACCATATGATTATGGAAGGAAGTGCTTGTATTTGACATTCTTTTGTTGAACTGAAGCTCTGTTGAAAAAACTTTAAAAAAGGAGAGGAAAGTTTTCTTACATGTACAGGTTATGTTTATTTGTCATTTTTTGTTTACATGTTTTCATTTTGTTTTGTTTCCAGTGGACAGAACATCTGTATGCGAGTTAGCAGCCCTATACTATTAATAATGGAAAAACAGTTTATCTTCTGAACAGAAACTTGTACCAGACAACAGGAGGTTACAGAAAGATTGGTATTTTGAATTTTAAGTAGGACTATTCTCTGGTTTCTCCACTGAAGTGTAATCTGGATTCCTCTGACATGATATAGATATATAGATATTATAGACTAAGACTAGTCATACTGTGAAATATGAGTAGTGAACCGCCTCCACTCAAGGTATGTTGTATGCCAATGGACTTGAAATCCAAGCTATTCCTTTCTTTTTGTGATTCTAGAGATATAGGCGTGAAGAACAAAACAGTAATTCAGAGTCAGATGATGATAATTATGTTCCATACATTTCTGTGAAGGAAAGAAAAAAACAACAGCTACTGAAGTTAGGACGTTTAGGACAGGTTGGAATTACATGAAAATATGGAGTAGATCAAGTTGGTCTTATACAGTTATTTCTATAGGTGAAAGAATCTGAACAAAACAAACACAAATCATCCAGTGAGAATGAAACTAATGAAGAGGAAGAAGATGAAATATGGGGAAGAAAGAACAACATTCCACTTCTTGATCAGCATACAGAACTCAGGAAATTAGCTGAAGGTTTGTTCCTCATTTTGTAAATTGAGAGATTGATGTTATAAGGGTAATAAGTTGTTTTGGAAATGTTTAGCTAAAAAGGTCAGTGCTGTAGAAAGGCAACTGAAAAAGGAAGAAGAAATATTGGAAATTGTAGCAGAGAAGAAAGCACTGATGGGAGTCTCTGAATTAGCAAAAGGCATTCAGTACAATGAACCAATAAAAACAAGGTAATCAAGGTAATATTAGATCCACTGGATCATCCAGTGATTCTAGGCATCAGAGGTATCTGATATTTGCATTTTCAGTTTTGCAGAACTTTTCATGAAGACTTTTTTTTTCCTTAATTCAACAATAAAAAATGTTTTTCATTTGTTGCCATATTTTTCAGGCATACTGTATATATTTATATTTCAAAACTTTAATGAATATACAGGGTGTCATGACTAATGGATAGAAAGAAGTGGGGTGGTAGGGGGGTCATTTGTATCAAACTAATGGTATAGGTTATCAAATTGCTGATGGTTCAAAAGTTATTCAATTATTCTGAAAAAACAAACCATTTGAAAAAATTAATGACAAAAAAGCTGTTATGAATAACACCATATGTTATACCATTTCAGAATCTGTATTAAATGGACAACTTTTTTTATGATTGATTATCTTTGTGAGGCAGTTTTCGAATTTCAACTGAAATATTTCATTCTATGACACAATTAAGGAAAACAACATTTTTCTCAGGTAATTGATAAGAAGTAATACATATTATAAAATTCTGGGGAAAGGTGCATCCATGTGGATGAAATTTGTAAAGGAAAAAATCATAAATGTAACATAGTTTCATTGTAATTAATTATTTTTATAGAAATGAAAAAATATTAATGACTTTTGAACCATCAACAATTGGATAACCACATATAGAGTTAGTTTGATAGGAAATGACCAGCCCTGCCATCCCATTTTTTTTATCCATGACTTATGGGACACCCTGTATAAGTAGTATTCAGATGTGTCCAATCATATGACATTGTAATATCTTCATGCCTTGGGATTGTAAGACTATCATGTTAAATAGCATATCCAAACTGTGTGTTTTGCTTACAATGCATAATGAGAAACTTACTGATGCTGGGTATCCTGTGTTCTTGCCTATTGTCTACAGTGGTCGTAGGTAAATCAACTAAAACTGTCATTTGGGTGCACCTCTTTCATTGTATATTGATTGTATTTCACTGCAGCTTACAAGGCTGTTCCCCAAAGGTGTACTTGTACTAGTAGAAAACGTGAATCTACTAGAGATTATCGGAGAGATGATTATCAACTTTCAGTATCATTCCAAAAAATCTCAAAAACTGAATTCATAGACCAAAAATAATGAGAGCTGGCTCAATTTCAGAGATTATGCTCCCATGAGTTCTCTTTCCCTCTCTTTTTCCATATACCCTGAATCATTGATTGATATATTACGCTCATGCTGGGAAGATGCCCAACTTTATGGAGCAAAACGAGGTCCAAAAAAATTTCACAACTAGATGACATAGCCCTCACTTTGCCACTGTGAGGGCTTGTCAAGACTAAGGTTCCTTACGCTGGGTGAGGAAAAACCAGGAGCCCAGAGATACACAGGAGATCTGAAAGCTAGCCTATGGAGTTTCATAGAGAAGGCGGGGCTAGCCGAAGAACTCTAATCCATTGATAGAGTCTCACCTGAGATACGGTATTCCTTTCTGGGGAGTATGTAATAATAACCTCATGCTAAGTATACTGGTACTGCAAAAACGCTCGATTAGATATATGTCCAAAGTTAAAATGCGTGTTTCCTGTAAACCGCTGTTTGTATCGCATAAATTACTAACTGTTATTGCAATCTTCATCCTTGAATCAGTATATCTCATCAAAAAACACATCCATAAATTTAATACTACTCCTTCCTATTACTCTACCCGTAAGCATAACAGTATAAACTTACCAATACCAAGTTCTTCTCTAGTAAAGGATTCACTCATTTATAATGGATGCAAGATGTTCAATCATTTGCCCGACTATATAAGAGATATCACCCACATTGACCATTTTAAAAAAGCTGTCCATTTGCTATTATCAGATCGGCCTTACTATAGTTTGGAGGAATTTTATTCTGATCAATTCTAATTATATGTACCCTTTGCTAATGTAAGAGTCTTTTTAATGTCTGTTTTATATTTTTAGTTTTTTATTTACACTTTTAACTCTACATATGTGCTTTGTCCATAAGAATGTATCTTTTCTTCATGACAATAAAGTATATTCTCTCTCTCTCTCTCTCTCTCTCATTTTGAGGGCAGACACAATAGATCTGAAAAGGTCGCAGTGTGGAGGCAGATAGCTCGAAGGCCCCATTCCAAATCTAATCTAGATGTCATAGCATAGTTCGAGATCACACATAGTGGCGGCAATAGTGTCGAACTATTTCAGAGGAATAAGTAATTTGACTGGCGGGTGCGCCACTTGTGAAGAGAATCTATTGGAATGCAGATGGCGTGCGAATCGGAACGATTAAACGATCCATAATCCATAATGCACAACGCTCCTATCTTATCCACGATCAATCAGAACGATTTTAGCAAATATGGCGGTAAATTCGAATTTGTTAGTAATAGTTGTACTGGATATGCTGCTGATAAAATCGTTTAAAATTCAGGAACCCAGACCAGTGTTGTCACCTTAGTGTATTTTACACTAGAACTGAATCTAAATGGGTCTGTTTCAGTGGAAATTTTCATTTCATTATTCCAAATTACTAACTCAAAACTATAGTTCACTGTTACAAACCATTTTCTTGCCTAGGAGCCCAAAAATGGTCAGATACTTTCCCTTCTGAGTAAAAGCAAATCCTTTTGAATAGGCATAGAGTAAGTAGAAATAAAGAGATTCAGGGGCATACCCACCCCTGATACCCGCGGAGACACCCCCACCCCCTTCTCGAAGGGGTGATGCGCACAGTTGCATATAAATATTATTTTCTCAAAAACGGTGAGAGATAGAGATTTGCGATTTACGCAATTCGAAAGAAAATTGAATTGAAAACTGCAAGCTTCATTTTTTCTCTCCCAAAATTTTTCGATTCTTTGGGCCGTTTAATAGTTATGAGGAAAAACATGACAGCCTAGAACTCCCCCCTCCCATATATTTTTTATTGGGAGCTGACATTGAGATTTTTGATCAATCAAAAAATATCTATCAGATGTACAATCCAATTTTCTTTCGAATGGCGTAAATCGCAAATCTCTATCTCTCACCGTTTTTGAGAAAATAATATTTATATGCAACTGTGCGCACCACCCCTTCGAGAAGGGAGTGGGGGTGTCTCCGCGGGTTTCAGGGGTGGGTCTGCCCCTGAATCTCTTTATTTCTACTTGCTATATGTACAATTTTTTAAATTATAATTTTTGAAATTCCTGATATTTATAACATGAAAAACGCGGGACGACGCGTGACGACGCTATACCGCCCTTAATCCAATGTATTTTAAACTGGTATATGATCCGACCTATGTATTGCGGAAACTCGAGAGTGCCAATAATTTTCTTTGGCTTTTGTGGGGCGGCCGACGCGGTGCGTTTGTCGACGTGAGGGTTGTCACACTGTATCTCAGCCCAGATAGCACAATGTCATTCATAGAACGTTCATAGGATATTCTTCGAGAATATTTTAATATTCTCAGAATTCTCAATGTATTTCATTACATTTTTATGTTTCCATTTTTTTAATGTTCTTAATAGGTATATCGACCTGTGAATATTTCTTCTCAAAACCTTCATGCCCAAATCAAGAGGGTTCAAACTTGAACGATGGTTGCTTTATTTACACACCTCTATAAAATCACATATTCGTGATTGGGTTTTCTCAATTCAGAATTGTTCCACAGCCTGTATGATGAACATCAAGTCATCGTACAACTATATAAATATTATCTGAAATATCAAGAATCTGAGAATCGCATTTTACCCCACCCAGGGAATCAGATTGTAACACCCTGTGAATAACATAATAGTCCTAAACCCGTTGTTGTTCTTGCGGATTGCAGAATCACTGACCGAAACAAACATTTTTTTATCGGAACCGGTCGGGCGGGTCGGGTCTCATCGTCGAAGACAAGGATAAACAAAAATGGCTGGACGCGGTGGCATGGGATCTGTAATTCTGTACGAAACTGTAGTAATCTGTACAATTAGTTCAGGCATGTTCTGTGTGCCTAGAGGAGTCGCTACCTCACAGTGGTTAAACGATAGACGAGGGGATGAGCGGGACATAGACTCGCAAATAACACAGGTTGGGCATCTTCCCAGCGTAAGCGTTTTATATCAATCACCGTCTGACGCACACCACGCCCCCCGAAAGGTTGAATGCCCAGGATCAAGTACCGCCATATAACTAGCTTACGTTATATGATATCTCCTCATCCCCATGTCCATCCACCCCCACTCACTAACGAGTGGACTTCAACCTCATGCATTTGGCAATCTGCATATGTTATATAAAACCCCTTATTTGGTTTCAGTCTACCGACTTTTAAACCTTTTTGTCTAATGTGTGTTTCCTAGCCTGACTTCGCGTGGTGGTTCCCTACCCTAATGGGAAGCAAATTTGAGTTTATGTATTATTATTATTGGTTTACATTTTTATAGGGTATCAAAGGAGAGACTCTTCTGTTTAATTATCTGATGATTATTATGCAACTTTTATTGATATTGATTAACTTTCGTTTGTTTATCTTATATTTGGTGAATTGGGCGCCTGTACTTTATTCTTCCGAAGCGCGGGTCTTGATTTAGTTGTCTATTAGTCAGATCGTGCAATAGCGGCTTTTCGTGGGTTTCTGTTCTTCCGAATGTAGTCTCCGCGTGTTGTCTTATGTAGTTGTCTATGTAGTCTGGGTTTATGTTCAGGTCCCTATAGATAAATCTATTTGGGATATACCATGGGGCATTTACTGCCATTCTTATTGAGACATTTAGAAATGCCTGTATTAGCTTTTTGTATGTCTCTGCGCATTGGCCCCATGCACTTGATGCATACAAAATTATTGGAAGTAGAATGGTTCTTATTAGGCGCAGCTTCAACTCTAGGGCCATGTTGCTTCTGCGACCTATTAGAGGCTGTAGGTTTTGCCTTGCGGCTTTACCCAAGTTTAGTCGTGTTGTGATGTGTTGTCTGAAAGTAAGTTTGTTGTCTAGGATTACCCCTAGAT